GCCTGGGTTAGTTTACTCCTAGCCAGACATTTTTTCGAGAAGAACCGAATGTAGCAATTCTTAGGACCAACTGCAAAAGAATTTTTTATTGTTCAGTGTTTCAAAACTGGTAACATCAGCAGCGAGCCAAGACGTTTACTCAGTAATTTTTAGCGAACAGATTTTCTGGGCGCGCATTAGGACGAATATGCCAGTGCTGTCCTGAAAATGCCTTACTTCGTCATGGCATTCAGCAGCAGAAACTTTTTGGTCGTCTTAAAAAGGTGTTTAATCGTGCTGTTGCTACAGAAAAGCAAAAATTGCAAGATTAAGAACTTTCTGAAAAAATAGCTTAACATTTAAGAAAAAATAAAAAAATTCCGTCTTTGCTATCGGCTGGTAGTACTTTTAAACACACCTGTAGCAGAAGTGTAGTTTGATTGCTCAGTAAGCTTATTTTGCTCGCTTGATTTTTTTGTATATGCAAAAATTCTACTTTTATAAGCCTGGAAATTGAAAGTTTACAGAAGTCTTTCGCTTGCTGGTTCGTTATGAAATATTTACGAATTTCTGGAAAGTTATTTCAGTTTTTTTTTAACTCAAATGCTCTGACAACCTATGGAAATCTGTTTGGGAACACCTGGAGTATGATTATTTAATAATTTGTTTAGCTGAAAAAATAAGGCATACGAAATTAACTGAATGTACCACTGCATGTTCACTCACCGAATTTCACTGCCCTTTTGCACTGCATTCGAAAGAATACCAGAGTCGGTAAATATCACAGTGGGCATCCTGGCACAGTTTGTTTCAGCCTTGAGATTAAGCCTACATTCAATTACCTCACCGTTCAAATGAAGTTATTCGTCGTCGACTCAGCTGGAAGATGTTTCAGAGCACCACATATTATGGAGATACACAGTTTTCGTTTAACGCTGCGCAGCCTGCACAAGCACAGTCGTTGTTATAGATTGCATTCGCTGGAAAAGTCTACGCAGCGTTCATTGAGAAGTACTGAAATACGAAGCATTTATGCGTTTTCGAACTAATTTTCAATGTTATTGGTGACAATTGATGGTGAAGCAGATTTGACAATACACAACATTTCCATTTTACCATCCGACCAGTGCGCTACTGATGATCAACGGGTGACTGCTTTGCAAATTTATCGTCCTTCATTTATTTGTCCTTATCCTTAAAATCTATAGTGCTCAGGGCTTAAACTACAGTGCGTAGCCAACTGAGTTCTTACGCGTTTGTGCTGCAACATTGGTACAAAACACATATTGTCGGTACCCTGTGCATTATATGTTCTCGAATCTTCGTCCGGATTTTTTGGTTCAGCAACCAGAAGAAGCTTAGGAAACCTTGGGACGAGAATCGGCTATGCCAGCTGATTGGTATTAGAAGATGCGCTTTTCTTAGACTAGAGAAAAGTCCTTTCGCTTCCCAAAGGACGGTTTTGGAAACCGAACAAAATCGCTGCACCACAGAAAGAACTGTCCTTGAGTGACATTAGCTTCAGAACACATCGGCGACAACTCCTTACAATCCAGCAAGGTTAAATAAAAAATGCAGGCGTCAAAGTGTTGTTGCGGTGACGGTAGATTTTACGACTATCCAACGAAGAAGTGCAAGGTGTCGCAAAATGTTGGCTTTATGTTTGGCAGATTAAATGATTCCTGGTCTCACATGGTGGTCTACGGATTCGTATATCCAATACTGGTGATAATCATGATTGCACCTCTGTGTGCTGTATTGCTCGGAATGGGAAAGCGAGAAAAACGAGAAGGTGATCGACGCTACGTAAGTTTAAATAATTGGCCAACGCACGGGCTGCTCGTGCGAAGATGCATAGTTTCCCGCAGTTTTTGTCGCTACCGGCATCGGTTTTTTCGGCAAATGTCTCTAGCTAAACAAAATAAAGACTGGCCACCAGAACTGGCAGGAAACACCCCCTAAAAATTTCAGTTTTCTACCTTTCTTGGCTCCTTAGTTAGCAACTTATTGGAAAAAAACTTTCACGGTCCCGCACGTGGGTACCACGCATACCCTATGTCTGGGTTTGAGCTCGTTGAGACTTACTTGGACGGGGAACATCTTAAAACTACAGTCTTTTAG